TTGGTAAAAGTAAATTCATATTGTTATTACTAATAAAATTTTTGTATAGTCTTAGATTTATTAAATTTTATTTTCATTCATTTTTTTAGTATTTCACGTTTTTATTTTAATTTCATTTTTATATTAGTTAGAAAAATAAAAAAATATGATTTGGTGTGTATTAAATGAACATTTAAAAACTTAAATGTTTTAGAAAATATTTTGCCTGACACTATAGATGAAGAGAAAACTCCCTAATTATATAATAGATTTGTGGGTTAGCATTAAACGGTGCTCCAAGCATGTATGCTACATCAAATCAAAACTTTTGATATGATTTTTGATGATTGAGAACAAGTTCGTGAATTTTCTAAGTGCTCTAGCATGAACTTTTCTCAAATTTATTTGTATGTAGATAGTAAGTGATAGATCGCCTCAACGTACTAAGTGCCACTTTATTCAAACCAACGCTTGAACTTCTCTGCAAGATTCATCATCATGCAAGTCATAGGGGAGCAAATTATCAACCATATCATGAGTCAAACAAACCAAACACTTTGATTATTGGATATTCTGAGATTAGTCAATTGGTTTCAATCTTAGAACCATTTCCATGCATTCTTGAATCATTATCACTATTACAAGCTTGAATCATCAAGTTTCTCACCCACATGAAAAAGATTCCCCCGATCACAAGTGATAAAATTTGATACTAATGCTTGGTTAGATCATAGATAAGACCATAAGAAGTCCCAAAAAACCATGTAGCCAAATGAAGTACAAGTTTAATTCGGTTTGTGCGAACTTTGTGTAGATCAAAATTATTTTAATCAATGACTATGAAGATCTCAAGCATTTTTTTGCTTTTATTTTCCGATTAGTCAAATGTATTAAATTAAACTCTTCATAAAATCAATTTCAACAACTTGTTAAACCTTTGAAACAAGGCTGACGAGTTAGTCTCAGCCCATACACTTTCAGTTAGGAAATATGGTCCAATACCTAACAATCCTGAAGGGCCACCTAGTAGGCCACCATTTGGCATGACCCAATTGCGATGGCGAGATAAACGAATCCCTTCAAGTGCATTCACTATAGAGAATAAAAAATTATTGGGCAAAATCCCGTTAATTCTGTAAAGCGCCGTTAGCTGGCGAGTCAGAGCGATTATCCAGCAACAATATAAAATCTCTTGATGGAGAACTTGATCATGAACACGGATTTCTTCAGATATGTCATCGTAATTTCTGTTCCACGACTGTGGATACCTTGCAAACCTATCACTCATTCTGAAAAAATTGACAAATTAAATAAAGCATTTATCTAATTTTAACAAGCTTTCTAATCAATGAGTAAATAATGTAAGAATATGAAGCACAATCTGATGAGTGAGTAGAATAGAGAGACTCAAGACCGTGAAGCGAATAATGGTAAAAAAGCGGAGTTCGTTGCTTTGAACCAGGTTTAGATAGATAAAAAAAATTTAACCTTGCATGAACGGCGCTGTTGTGTGACAAGGGTCAAAGAATGTCTTTAGACACAGAGAGACTTGAAATCAAATCCTTAATTTGATAAATCCTTAAATGAAAACGACGTCATTTTATCGAATTAGGGATTCAATTTCAAGTTTTCTCTAAATGAAAACGAAATCGTTTTACTAAAACAACGAAACGACGTTGTTTTGAGCCAACGAAACCGAGCCAGCTAACTCACGTATCGTTTT